ATAAAATGTGCGCACTGTAATAAATCTTTATGCTTAAAAGACTTTTTAGAAAAAATATGCTGGCATTAAATAGATATCACATAGAAATTTTGTAAAAACAACATCAAGGGGGAAATATTATCTGCTTATAATCTTTTACTTTATTTAATTAATTAACTTTTAAATAGTAATCAAAATATTTTTTGGCAAGAAAATTTTGAAAAAATATGAAAAAAAAATTAAAAAATAAAAAAATAAAAAATGGAGACACATCTCTTTACGTCCTCGCCGTTGTCTCTGGGTAATGCTAAAGGAGAGACATACATTTATATTGTATAAAATAGGCATGCATATAAGTTTTATTCCTTATTGTGTACCAAACATAAATAAAGATATAAAAGAAAAAAATCATTTAGGATTTTCGTTAGAAATATTATTTAAATTAGATAAATCTATATTATCGTAGAATTAACAAGATAATCAATTAAGACAATAAATTCTTCATGAAGATTAGGTTATAATAAAAAAGTAACATCAGAAACGTGTAGAACGACCTCAAAAATATAAAGGATGGTCATTTAATTCAATACTACGTAAGCATTTACGACGTAGATAAATGAAAAGTTTAAACAGTATAATGTGTGAAAAATGGCGTAAAAATAAAAAAAAACCCATACTTTACATGGCTGGTACTAAAAAATATCGAAGATCGAGGGGTTATGATGGGTAAATCTTGGCTGTGGGTACCCCAAAGAACCTGTTCCAAGTATTTTTAACCCTCCCGGCACTGAACACCTGAGAACCTTCCCTTGTCAGTGTCGATGCTCCTCTCAATAACGCTGAAGGCAGAGTTAATAACTAACAGGGATTAGTAATTTGATAGATTTTCAATTAAATAGAACTCACTTATACCAGCTTAATTGTTGGTCCACCCGGCGACTAGCTGTTCACGTCCATATATGCTCGCGTCTACGTTTCTTTATTTGCCCGCATCAGCACGATCACGCAACGACGACTGCGGATGTGCTACGAATATACATGCCCTAGAGTCCCTCTAGTAAGCGTCCGGCCTCATACTGACTACATACCGGCTGACTACCGGCTACATACCGGCCCTGTACGGCGGGTTGCCTGTACTTGGAGCGAGACTCGACCGAGTCTCGCGTAATGTTATGGCGGCTCCAAACGAGCCCTAAACATGGCGTTCCTTCCGGGTATTGGCCGGACGCTTACTAGAGGGACTCTAACATGCCTTAGACGGTCAAACACGATCTCGACACATGCTTCCGGATTTTGAAAAATATAATTTTATTTATGATATAAATAATTCGTAACATAATCATAACAAAATATATAACATATAAATACAAATTTTATGTCACATTTTAATAAAATCTCGGTAATAAATGTTACTTATATTTCATTACAGAAATGTTATGTAACGTTTACATTTCGTTTAAACACAATTTTGTATCACATGTGGATACTATAATTACTGAAACAAAACATCCTACCTACGTCAATGTTACATCCCAACGTTACGTTTTTGTACAAATCAAAACTTATGTAACTGTTACATTCTGTGTTTGCTGCGTACTGCCACATGATTGATATTGTAATTTGTTTTATATTTATTGCTACCATAAACACAGTTTGTACACTTTAAGTTGGTTTCATTGCATTCTATTATTTTGTGTTTCTGCACATCTTACAATTAGACATGCAGATGTATTTCTACACTTATGTTCCTTATGCGCACTCATTCCACAATTGTAGCAAAGTTTTACACTTATTACATCAAAGATTCTACAGTTCAAATGTCCAATAAATCTTCTTTCTTTGTTTTCTTTTCATTTTTTATGCATTTCTGGAGAGATCTCCATTATTATTGTATTGCTCTTATTTCTATTTGAATGAGAGTGAAGTATTTTTACATTAGTCTGAAAATTCTGAAAATTTCTGAATTTTATATCTTCTTCTAATAATGCATGATCCATTTGGTAAGCTCTGTCAATTCCAACTACTTTTATTACTGGATTTTTCAATTGTTCTGTATCTATTATGTATATTGACCTGAGAGTTTTTCTTCTAAAACTTTTTTAACTCATTTAGCACTTTCAATTTCCTCTTTTAATTTAAGTAACACAACATGTAGATCATTACTTTTTGAGGTTATATTAACGTCATCATGCTCATTACATAATTATCATAACATTAGACACATATTTAACATTTTTCTTTCTATTAAAATCACTCTTATGAAATACATTTTCACACAGAATTCAAAAAACTGTACTATTCGCTTGTCTATTATGGCGCTTATAATAAACATCCGGAGGGATTGCCTCGGGGGGCAACCCGCCCGTCGCTATATCAGATATAACATCGTTTCATTAATTTTAATTTTCGTTTGTACAAATTCCTAGCAAGGAGACGGAGCACCTATAGTAAGAAAAGGAACATGTGCTAATCATATTAGAGACATAGAGCGACTTTTAAAAGGCGCACACATAATGATTGACGCACGCTCCGAAGAAGATATTGAAGTAGACCTCATAATGGAAAAACTCGCACGAGCAACAGCGTCCACGTATAAGTTCAACGAACCACGTGGTGAAAATGGAGGTCAACTTGGTCCAGTTGGAACAACATATCGCAGGTTTGTTTACAAAAAATGTTACAAAGCTATGCACAATATAGTGTATACATATTTTAAATGGTGAAATCTTCAACTTATAACTATTAAAACAACATTTTTGCACAGTGTTTGAAACCACATAGCTCAGCATTGATTTTTATGAATCAAAATAAGGAAAATTCAATATTGATCATTTTCATAGTTTACAGAAATGAACAAAGACGTATTATTGAAAATCATTTTATTCATTTTAATCAATTTTCTTAACACTGCTTAAGTAAATGCAGTCTTTGGTACTTGAATGACTATTGTCATTAAAAACTAATGATTCTGACTAGTTAGTAATTAAAGGGACGTTACTTTAAAAAAAATCTATATTTGTATTACTATTTTTCATTATTTGAAGCCTTTTTACAACAAAAAATCGGTATAGTTGAATTTATGACAATAAGAAAGTTACAAGCACTTTTGTAGTAAAATGTGTTTCTGGAAAAAGTCAGGAACCCACTTGACACCCACTTATGACGTTTCTTGAGCGTTTACGAATCACCTAACCTCTAGTAATTCCATGAAAACAATTATTTACATCGTCAATTTTTTAAAGCATTTGAGATGGATTTCTACACATTTTTTATATTTGTGGTATATTTTAGTCCAGAAAATTAGTTCAACTAATTGAAATGTGTAAACTGCATGAAAGCATTCTATTGGTTGTACACGTAAGCGATCGAATGTATACATATAATGCAAGGATATCTAATCAGCGAGATATACTATTCTCCAGTGCTCTCATATTTCTCGAAAAGAATATGAATTCAAAACACTCCATATAGTGATTTTGAAAATCATCGCCTTTTCGACATAAAGTACGAACGTGGTCCGAAAAGTTTTGGAGGCTCCTCAAAATTACTATTTGATAGTCTTTCAAGTTTAATGTTGTGTAAAGTATATGATGAAACAAGTACGCTTTGTGGCATGAAACTATTTATGAAGTGAATCGAAGAATTATGCAGTGTATTAGTAACAAGTTGTTTTATGAAATATTAAATATTCTAATGCTGGAGAAGTTTTCTTTCTTTAAGAAGATGAGAAACAAGATAGGGACCCTATTCTTGAACTATTCGACATTTTCATCGAGAATGAAGTGCCTGGGAGCATCTATTATTTGGTTAGAAGGCATAATAAAAAAGTTATGGAAATATGTAGCAGAAACAGTAGTATAACAAGCCGCAAGTTGAAACTTGCAATTTGCTTCCTCCGAATTGTAAGTAGTGTACGAAGTCCCTATATGAGGAAGCATTTTCATTTTTTTAATCTTTGGCTTCCTCATATAGGGACGTTGTACACTACTTACGATTCAGAGGAAGCAAATTACAAGTTTGAACTTTCGGCTTGTTTAACATGAGTCCCCATGTCTCTCACAACTTGGGGTGTTTCATTTAACGTGAGTCCCCTTACCTCTCACAAATTGGGGTACTTTTTTAACGCGAGTCCCCTTGCCTCTCATAACTTGGGGTGCTTCATTTAACGCGAGTCCCTTTGCCTCTCACAACTTCAGGTGCTTCATTTAACGTGAGTTCCCTTGCCTCTCACAACTTATTAAATACCTTGCATAGGGAATGGTAATAACGCATTTTGATTTATAATTATCATAAAATGTCTTCGCATTTGGTCTATGTCAGTTAAATATTTTATGCTAGCTGGATTTTGTCCTAAAGCTATAGAGATAGCAAATGCTGCGGCAAACAAACCACACGAGTTCGAGACAATATTATTTAGCGTAAGATTTGGATATCGCCGTACAATATACTTTCGTTCATCCATTGCAAGATCCTTGTATGAATGTTTGTCATAGTATAAGCTATCATAAATATGCAAACTTATACCGTCGTAATAAATATAATGCCAATGTGCTGTGTTATTTCCTCCTATAATCTGAATATCTTGAGTAAAAATTGGGCCAATCCAATGTAAAGTAGTATAAGTTGGGGAGTTCTGGATACAGATTCCTGCACCGACCTATACCGACATTCCAGAGCCTTCGAAGGTGGGTGTCCGTGCTAAGTTACCGTCGTGAGCTCTACGATTTCTGGAAGTGACGGCATCAGAACTACACTCGCGGATACCAAAGATTGCTGCTTTGCAATAGCTTCCCACAAATTCCGCGCTTATCAATTGTTTCGGTTTTCATCTGGCTGAATGCGTATCCCGAAACAATTGCCGATCGCGCGTTGCACGTGTAGCTGCTGCGCCAGTCTAAGTCACGCCCATGCCCATAGTGGTAGTTTGTCAGCGAATCCTACGACGCTCGCTCGGGCTATGAAATAATTGCTAAGCACGGAATTTGTGGGAAGCTATTGCAAAGCAGCTATCTTCGGCATCCGCGAGTGTACTTCCCACCACGCTGCTATAATCCGCGCAAATCCTTCGTTCTGATTGGTCCCACTTAAATGCTTCTCATTTAAAAACTATTGCGAATTTTGGCAAACGGTTTGCGCAAACTGACAGTTCGCATAGCAATAAGGTTTTTGACATATTTCAACAGTCAGGTTACTAAAATAATTAATTAATATTATTATGACAAAATGTAATATCAATTAAGATTTTTTGTCACAACAGATTGCAATTAAAACAATGTAAAGTTCAAAATATTCATAATTTTGATATTTCCAAGTAATGATTACAATTGCAATTCTGCAATACAATGTTGCAACAAATTTAAAAATCAATTGAAATGTTTTTATAGCGAAAAAGTACAGCAAAAAAATCTGTTGTGAAAATAAATCTTAACTGATATTAAATTTTGTTATTACAATATTAATTAATAATTTCAGTAACGTAACTATTGAAATATTTCAAAAACCTTACTGCTATGCGAACTGTCAGTTTGCGCTTATGGAAATCGGCTACAGTCACATGTCATTTTTTAAAGAGGCCACACTGCCCTGTCTGCCACTTGCGGGCAACTTCTGCTGGTGCGTTTCTACTGACTAACCCTGTATATTGGTTCATGAGATATTTTCTTCCAAACACAGGTATAAGAGTTGATACGGGTGAAGGGTCTCTGCGATCCGTGCCCTGTACAGCCGGTTGCCTGTACTTGGCGCGTGATTCGACCGAGTCTCTTATCCTAATAAAGTGACATACGATAAATATATTGAACTATTTCATCAGATCACCAAATTCCCCTAAATTTCATGTAGAATTTGTTATACATATATAATTCGTCATTCGATGTCTTTCAATATACGTTTCAACAAAGAAATACAAAAACATTTTCCTTACAACATATTTCCTGTTTGAAATACATTGTGTGCCGAATTAGCAGAAAGAGCGTCTAATGGGATGAAATGTATCCGTTTGCAAAGTCAATAATTATTATATTTTGAAGTCATAAAAGATTTTTAAACTATGTAAAACTTTAGCTAAGATATATCTTTATTATTATGAGCAAGTGGGAACACGGTTTATTGATTATTTATTTTTAAATTGAATATTTTCCTTAGGTGCACCAGATCAATAATTACTGATAATTTAAAATAAACCGATTATATAGTAAAAAAACTGACTTCAATTTCTGAAAAGCAATGCTATCAACACATTTTTGAGTAAAAGAAATTTGAATTATATAATTCTTTGATTGTTTATAGAGTTATACCTGAACAAGAAATAAATGCAACGGAACGAGATCAATTTTGGCAACGAGAAGAAATAGAGGAAAGAAAAAGACTGGAGCAGGAACGTTGTCGAGCGGAACAGGAACGTGGAAATATTGAGCGAGAGATTTGGTTACGTGGAGATAAGAAAAATCAGCTTACAGAACAACAGCAACTAGTAAGAAATAATATAAGTAGATATATTCACTATGCTTTTTATATTTATTTTATTTATTTATTTATTGAACCAGTTTAAAATTACAAATTTACATCTGTACAATCCTATAGAGGTAATACAATTACCTGTACATAGGCTTGGCTTACTTAATACTATCTACAGCTGACTTAACTTAAGGATTTCGTCCATTTATTTCGCAGTTGCATATTTATTACTCATCGCGTGTATAATATGTATGCTCATGAGTCTGTATAATTGAATATACAGTTTCAGAGTACTTGTAATATATATCTTAAAATTATTGCACTATATAACATTAGATTAGTGACTTGTAGTCATATCAGTATGATAGCTACAGGATCTTATCCAAGTTTTTAGCTTAATCTTAATGGTACTTATATTCATAGTCATAGTTTTGAGTTCTTTCGGCAGTACATTGTATGCTCTTACTGCTACAATATAGCTATTTTTATTGCTTACAGTTTTAGTTATTTTCGGCATCTGTAAATTCTTATTTCGAGTTATGCTGTCTGAATTTATATATTTGTTTTTTAACTCACCATAGTGGTGTAATAATGAGTTATAGACAAATAACTGCTTAAGATTTAATGGATAATTTTGTGTTACAAAAGCGTTTTTATTGATGATTTTCAGGATTCTATTCTGTAGCTTTTGAAGCAAATTCAGACTACTTTTATATGCACCTCCCCATGCTATTATTCCATAGTTGATATAACTGTGGAAAAATGCGTAATATATGATCATTAACGTTTTTGACGGCATTATTTTCGAAATTTTCGCGAAGATGAAAACTAGGTATTTTGTTTTTTGTATAATATTTTCAACATGTTTGTCCCATTTCAAATTAAAGTCAAATATTTTTCCCAGATATTTCCAACTATCTACTCTGTTTAATGGTTGTAAACCTATTTTTATGTCTAGACTTTTGAGAACACTATCTACATAGCTTCCAAATGTTATATACACGGTTTTTTCAACATTCAATGATAATTTATTTAATGCAAGTCAGGAGGCAACTTTCTCTAAATGTGCATTCATCTTAACTTGAGCAGTTATCCAAGTATTCTCAGAGGAAAGAATAACCGTGTCATCCGCATATGATAGAATAGAATCATCCGGCATGCTTTTTAGCAAATCGTTGACATAAAGAATAAAAAGTAAAGGTCCTAGGATTGTTCCCTGAGGTACACCTGTAGTTACTTGATTATTGTTACTAATACAACCGTTAACTCTTACTCTTTGTTTCCTACCTGTAAGGTAACTTTTTAGCAGTTCATATGCATTACCTCTAATTCCATATCTGTACAGTTTTTCTAACAAAATTTCATGATTGACAGTATCAAAAGCCTTATATTACATAAAAGTATATTACCCTATATACATTAGTATATTAATATTCTGTCCATTGTCCATTCCTAATATCTTTCATAAATGTTCTTAGTCATCTTCTGTGTTCTCTCCCTTGTATCTTTTGTTTCTAATTGTGGGCCGATTTGTCTGCAATGTTCTCTCCTTTCTTTCCTTTGGCGTCTTATTTTCGTTGCTTATTTCTCCTCTTCTGGACAACTCCATTTCTCGTTTCTCATTTCTTCTACTTTCATTTTTCTTTATCAATTTTTCTCCCACATTTCTTCATCATCCCCCCTCCCCCCTTCATATGTGTTCCATAGCTGCCGTTTCTCTTCTTTTTCCTCTATCTTTGATGTATTATTGCTTTTCTATGCCGTCCTTTTGTATTCAGGATTTCCCATAACGAAGTGAGCTCAGTGGTAAGGTCGTATTCTTTGAACGATTTAAAGAAAAAGTTCATAAGTGAATTTCATTGTGAAACCTTATTAACCCGTAGACTCCTGGGACCGCACAATGTGTGGATCTCAATTTCTGTGTCAGTTATCCAGATCTGTATAGTGTATAGTATACCGATCTGTACACTGAACCTCAATAATGGTGACAACGGTGGACGCGGTGCGGTTAGGTAAGAGAGGAGATTGGACGGCGCCTGCTCACGTATCTTGACCTGTGCGTGCAACACAGAAAGCACTACGGTGCGAGCGAAATGCCAGAGTGTCGCTCGGCGCGTCCTTGTTGCACAGCACGAGTGTAAGCGAGACGGCAACATGGTCCTTTATGCGCAATATGGAACGTGGTGGGGGACTGCTCGTGTCCGGACGCACGCTCTTGGTCTCTCTCTTAGACTAACGCTCTATGACGAGGACAGCTAGTACCCCGATAAGAAAAACGAGAAGAATCTACGCGACTTTCAGTAGTGGGAATAAGATAGAAAACGAAAAACCTTTTAACTAGAAGATACAATGTAAGTCGTAAAACCAGCGACAATTTATAAAACCTCTGGTTTCACTCTAAAGCGGCAGATGTTATGCCCCTCTATTATAACATAACCATTAAGGAACCGTTATACCCTCGAAATTCCCTACCTTTTCCTATCATAAAACTATCTATAATCCCAAAAACATACAAACCCTTGTTTCCTGCATTTTTAAAATAGGAGTTTCCCAATTACACAAAAAACCCTCCCTTTCTGTCAAAAATTCCTCGTTCCCGTTAGACTAAGTTTATCTTACTAGAAAACATAGCATCTATTTACAGTTTCAGTCGAGCATTTGTAAGAGAAGGTCCTCTAGAGAGTAAAATAAAAGATTGTATGTTCTATACTGGTTCTTTAATTAACAAAATCCGTTCGTGAAGTCATAACGGCAGAATCTTGTATGTCGCATTGAATCTATAACGATATAGTTCGCCACGGCATAACAACACATATTCATTTTTTGAAAACTTTCGGAGCAAGTGCCCACAATTTTCAAGTTTCCCTGAACTCAGAGGGAATTAAGTTGTTGGATGTGAATTTATCCTTTTTAAAAAGGTTACAAACATAAACTTAACTCTAAATGAATATTAAATAAGAGCGATGCTACTCGATTCAGCTGTCAATTCTCACTGGCTTGCTCTCGATCGTTCTGTATAAAGAAACCTCGGTTTCCGGTGTCCGTTGTCTTTATATCTTGTCGGTAAGACTCCTGTAGTCATCATAACTAGGACCAATATCGGCCATGTTTTTTAGTACGCGCTCCCCAATAAGGGAGCAAAAGGCTCATCATACTCCCCACACAGCACAGAAATATTTTGTCAACATTGCCAAAAGTTGAAATAATGCAATATTACCGGAAATATATTGAAAATTGTTTAAATATTTCTGGAATGTTGCAGGAACCTTGCAATATCCGCTCAGCATGTTGCAATCACAATATTGCTATAATATTGCCGGTCAATATTTTGGAAATATCAATGCATAATATTAATAAAATATAACTCAGATAGATAACTGAGACATAATATAACTGAGAATAAATCCCAATGCCAGCAATGTATCGTGGGTTTCTTTGGGCAGGTTGCCTATACCTCCTTAAATATTACCTCGGTTGTATTTTTAAATACTCTATACAAATGCAATAATTTCACATGTAATTTTTA